ACTTCAATTGTATTAACATTGTTTATGAGAGTTTAAAGTACGTTGTATTACTGACCTGCTGCCTACTCACCTTCTAGCCCAAAGGCTGGCATATGGTGATATTGAGTCATTTTATCTTACCGTCCAAAGGGAATGTATGCCGATACCTATACACTCGTACTCTGTGGTGGAAACTGGTGTTTGAAAAAGAAAGCATGCATATTTTCCAGGTTTTCTGCCTTCTCGTCATGAAATCGAGTTAAGGAGGAAATTGACGCCTTTGCAGCCTGAATGGAGAATGTTGTATTTACGAACCGGTCCACGGGGGACACCAGTGTATAGCCAGCTGCTAACATTACCTTTGGATGGTAAAATGAAACGACTCAATATCGCCATCTGCCGGCCTTTGGGCTACTCTCCTTGCAGATTGTTTGTGGACTGATTAGATGCTATGTTGAGGGGTGTTTTCCTAGTATCTTTATCCGTTGAATGATTGTGATTTTACAGGGTATATCCTGATATTGTGAAATATTGGCTATTTGGTATATTGGCTTCTGATAAATATTGATTATAGAATTACATATTATTGATGAAATAGCCTACCTGTTCAGTTATAGGCGCTCTGCCTAGTTTGGAGGCACTCTGCAGAAGCCAGTCATAGCTTCAGGTATTGGCTATTTCGATTATTGTTTGTTATTTTGAAAGTCCACGTAGGACAGAGTTCATCAACGTCTTGTATATACTTGTGGATCCAGCTTACCTTCTAGCCCAAAACCTGTAAATAAACAACAGCATGTTGCACCTGACTGCATTAGACTCCTTATGCTTCACACACCCTGATAGTAGGTTCCTCTATTTTACTGGTAGTAATAATGTTTTGCCCTCAGAACAGACTCTATTCATCGGGGCATGGACTCGAGCGTTCCACAGGGATGCTGGCCCATGTTGACTCCAATGCTTCCCACAGATTTGTCAAGTTGGCTGGATGTCCTTTGGGTGGTGGACCATTCTTGATACTCACAGGAAACTGTTGAGCGTGAAAAACCCAGCAGCATTGCAGTTCTCATCACAAACCAGTGCGCCTGGCACCTACTACCATACCCCGTTCTTACCCATTCACCCTCTGAATGGCACACATCCACAATCCGTTCCTCAATTGTCTCAAATCCTTCTTTAACCTGTCTCCTCCCCTTGAAGTGGATTTAACAAGTGACATCAATAAGGGATCATAGCTTTCACTTGGTCAGTCTATGTCATGGAAAAAGCAGGTGTTTTTTAAAGGTTTTGTATACTCAGTGTATAATAGCCTGTAGTGTCTGCATGATGTTTTTCCAAAAAGATCAATGCCAATGTGAACTATTCGGTTTGAAAACGCACTTCCTGCACTTCTGTATTATGAGAGCCAACTTGTGCTGACCTTTTGTGAACATAAATTGATGCATGTAAATAATTAGGACACTTTCCTCTCCATCACTCCCATATAAAGGCACATAGAGTTAGTGTTTAAGCATACATTGAGGTGTTTAATAAAGCTGACAGTCTCTATTGTTTGGGACTTCACAGGTGGACAAAATCTAGGTATGAGAGTTGTTCACTTCATTTTATACAGGATGAGTGAGAGAACCTACAATAGTTTTACTTTAGTGAATGTAGAATACAAATTTGTACAACAATCTCTAGCATGGTATCTTAGTCATTAAATAAAAAGTTCACTAGAATATTTATTGTATAATGAAGATAAAACAACACATTCAAGGGAAATAAAATGCAGATTAACTTAAAATTCTCTCTTGATTTTGAAACAGTTTGTTTCATTCATGGCAACAAAGTCCAGCTTGTGCCGCCAAACGGTTTGAGCATCCAAACCGCAAACAGCTTCTTGAAGTGACCTATTAACTACAAACAATTACCAAATACATAGCTCTGTTTATAAAAGCCATAAAGCAAAGCAGTGTAGGCCTACTCTTGCTAAGCAAAGTGAAGAAAGTACTTTAAACAAAGTTCTGTTGTCTCCTTAAATCATGTTCTTTCACATTCAACAGTTGTGCATGTTTTTACACAGCACATAGACCAAAAGAGCAAGTCTATCCCTTTACATTCTCAATACATTCCTTGTGTGAATCTGATTTTAGGGGAGTGCAGGGTGGGCAAGACTATTTAGTCTATGTACTGTAATGTATGTCAGCTTCTTTAGCTGTAGGGGTGTAAGTTTGGAGCTTTGTGAGGCTTTTCTTGATTTATAACGAGTGATTCTTTGGGATAAGGCTATTTTCTAACCGTGCATATAAAGAGTGAAGCTAGAAAAATTCCCTGATATCCTATCAAGTGCTAAAGTGTGCATGTAATTGTGTGATGAAGCTATGAAAAAAGACTGCTTCTGTCTTGTAAGAATAGTGTAATGGTATTATTGCTATTCTGTAACCTGAAATGTTCAATTTGATATTAATAAGTTGTGTTGTGTTTCTTATGCATTTCAAAAATATTTCTGAATTGATCAAGACTGAGGAAAATAATGTGTGTTCAAAAAGGTTTAGATGAATTCAATTTGATGTGCAACTGCCTATCCAGCTCCCTCACACAGTGGCACTTAAGGACTAGAGGTTAACAGTCATATTTTCATCTGCTCAGGCCCTGCAGGCCCTAAGCACATCATCTTTGCAAATCTTCATTCTAGTACTGAGGGTGACTATATTGGACTTGCAATAACATCTAATAGTAGACTGGACCCTTTAAGTGACATTTTGTTGGGGCCGCATCTGGACAGAGTACGAGTTGGAAACTACATAGATCACTATTGGCTTATCACCAACTGCTATGGATCAAATGAAAGGGGTGGAGGTGGGTGTGGAGGAGAAACACACAAGGGAAAATATAGCAAATGTAAAGAGATACTCCTTTTGTACAGCACACTTCTCATACAAATGTGTGCAATCCAGCAGTGTGAGATCAAGTCAATTCAGTTGCATTGTCTCTCCTATGTTTTAGCTGCTGAATCCTCTGACACTTTGCCACTGTGAGGATGGGGTATAATGCAAGCCAGGGCCACCTGTAACAGACAATGACTGTCTCTGCATGGTCTGATATGCTCACACAGGCAAACATACAACAGTGAAACAGAAAATGGCTGCTGCCCCTCACCAGTACTACACCCTGCTTATGACATCATGATTTCTGGATTATTCATTTCCTACTAGTGATGGGGCGTTTACAAAGGGTATTTTACTGTGCCATTTTATAAAACGTATTAATTTTATACATAATCATGACTGAGATCTACATTTAGGCTATGATATTTACAACGTTTGTAATTTAATTTAATTAAATTCACCAGAGTGATATATAAATGGATAATTTAATTAACCATAAATAGGTTTATTGGCATGGTTCATGAAATGGCATGTCTTTCAATTGAGCTAAGCACAATCACAATGGACGGTTTTTCAATGCTGAGATGGGACCTTGGGTTTGAAAGTTGGCAGAGTATCCAGCAGCTGCAGGTAAATAGTTAACACAATAGAAGTAACCTTAGCATTGTGATTATCCTTCACAACATACGGTATACAGGAACTTTAACCTCACAGCACTGTTATTACAATTTCCTAGGGACAGACATTCACCACTATTAAAGGGAAAACTACCCCAAAAACTACTCTCTGGAAATAAATCCACTGATTAAAACGGTAATAACAAAATGTTGAAGAAAGTACAGTATAATTAACAAAATAGTAAATATTAACCAGTGACTAATCTACTTAATAAGGATCTTGCTGGGTAAACATGGCAGTAATCCACAAAAATATACCTTTTTCTTGAATCTGGTGATGGTACAATACATACGTACTTAGCTACACCAAGGTGATAAATATTAAAGTTGCTATTTACATAACAAAATAAAACATTTGGCTCAAATTTAGAATTTTACAAACAGAACAGCAAGTGTTCATGGCTTTAGATATTGATTCAAGATCTGGCTTGCATGTCTTTATATTGGTTGTAACAGAGCACAGTAAAAACATAACTAAGATAAACAATTGTTTTTGAGAGAATTGCTGGAAACCATAGCTACAAAATAACAGAAATAAACATACAGTACAGCTTTGGCTTACATTACCAATGAATTGTTGGAGCAATGAGAATATTTCTTACTATTACTATGCTACCAGTTCAACTGGATGATTTCCCATTATCTTAATTTCCCATATCAGATTATAAAATGAATATGTTATTATTGCAATATACTTTTTCCTATCTCTTTTAGAACTAATCACATGACTTTGAGCCATGTCCTTCCCATACATGATAGCTTTTCCTGTCTCAAACCCCACGAGAGAAATTCTACCTCTTTCAAATTAAAAACAACAACTCTGTTGTAGTGTCTCTAAGGTCGATTTTGTTTTAAAATTAGATGTCACCGATTTGATTTAATAATTTAATAGAAGAGACAAATTGAGTCAACATTGTATGAGATTAAAGGTGTATGTGGTTACATCATCATGTTGTGAAACATGAGCTCTAACAGTGGACGCCACAAGCAGGGGCCCTCAGCCAATAGGCAACACTCTGACTTTCTTTGATTGTTTGCAACTTGCAACCACAACAGCAAAAACAGCAACTACAAGTAAGTGCCAGACTAGACCTGTGACTACAATAAACTAGATTGTTTAATATTTCTTTTTTTTCTCCTTTGAACATCGGACTCCTGCAAACATAATCTGATTCGCACCCAGTACCTGATAACGTCTGTTTGTGTACATAATTCAGTCCAACTACTTGAATGCTTTTCTTATTAATGTGAGACTTATTTAATTTAGATATGTCCTTTAATTGTATTTGCCATTCTCCTTCTTACAAAATGAAATGGAGTTAAATAATAATATTATAATGATAACTATCAGGACCTTTCCTACCCCCTCCATCTCTCCCCCATGTATATCCCCTCCCTCCCTCCCTCCCTCCCTCCCTCCCCTCCCTCCCCTCCCTCCCTCGGACTAGCTGGTGACTGGAGGCTTGACCAGGTGGCTCTATGTCACCCAGGTGTCCATGCGCATGCGCTTGACAGAAGGGCTCGCCCTGTTGTCCTCGGTGCCGGCTGGGGGTCTGCTCAGCCCCATGGAGGAGGAGTGGAAGTCTGGCCGGTGGTCCTCACGGTCGCTGCCGTCGTACGAGCTGCAGGAGGAGCTGAGGCTGTCCACTGGCGAGCTTCCCAGGTCCTGCCGGCTGGACGCCTGCTGCTGTTGCTGATGCCGCTGCTGTTGCTGCTGCTGGTGGAAGCCAGAGGGGGTGACGCGCTCCCGCGGAGGGGAGATGGGCTCTGACTTGATATTGATGTTTTGGCTGGTGTTGATAGAGAGGTTGGAGCCCTGAGGTAGGTGACCACCACCCCTGTGGAGAGGAACAGCATGGGCTCAGTGGCCATTTGGAAAGTGACATAGATCAGGTTCTTGGAGTGGTGGTTGGAAAAGGGATAGCTGAAGGAGTTCAAGCTATGTAATAATAATAATAATATGCCATTTAGCAGATGCTTTTATCCAAAGCGACTTACAGTCATGCGTGCATACATTTTTGTGTATGGGTGGTCCCGGGGATCGAACCCACTACCTTGGCATTACAAGCGCCGTGCTCTACCAGCTGAGCTACAGAGGACCACATGTACTTTGAATGTGTATATAATGTCTGTGCATGTACTGTATATTCTATACATGAGTGTGGGTTTCTTAATGTGTGTGCATGTGTTTGCTAGTGTGTTACTCACACCAAAGAGCTGAGAGCTGCCTGACCCAGTTGATGTTGTTGCCATGCCGACATGGTGCCCAGAGAGAGCCCTGGAGAGCCAAAGCCCTGTAGGGAGGAGATCTCTGCACTGCTCAGGGAGTACTCTGCAACAACAACAGCACCAGAGAACAGTGAGTTACACACACTCCCACTGCTACTGCAGCAACACCTCTCACCACAGGAGACCAGACCAATCAGTAACAGCCAAGCAGGCAGGGCTGAGGCAGCCGTGGCAAGGGACAGAGGGGTAGACTCACCGGTGTTGTAAGCGGTGGGCATGCCTGAGTAGACCAGGCCTTGGGGGGGCAGGCTGGGGGTGGTGACAGACACTACTGGGGTGGCCAGTGGCTGGGACTGGGAGCTGCTTAGCCTTTGGGTGTTCTGCAAACAGAACCGGGAAAAAACAGATTTCATGAACAAAGCAACATAGTATGGTATTAAAGGGCTTACTGTAGTGAACCCAAAGTATACAAAATGTCAGTTGTTATAGATTACGTTTTAAAATGTTTTTAAGCACTAACTTGATAAAGACCATTAATATTGTGCCAGTGGACAAATGTGTTGCGATACTACTTTCAAACAAGAGGTGGCACTGTAGCTTCATGTCACATGTGTAGTTACAATCCAGATAACATATTGAGGCTTGTCATATGACAACGGCTTGACAATACACGCAATAAGCGTCAAACTCAATCCCATCAAGTAAAGACATTGCATGTTTTTGTCCAATATTGAGAAGAGGGCTGTTGTTTGTGGATGAATCTCTTAACAGATATGCAATGTAGGGATTATGGATTATACATAATCAGCAAAGGGAGTATAGTTTTGAAGTAAAATATTGTTTTACCATATACAGCAGTGGGATTGGTGCTGATATGCAATCTTTTTCGTATTCAATTTTCCTTACAAGCTAAGGCAAATGCTCTTCAGCACTCAAATTGTTTACAGAATGTGTATAAAGCAATGGTCAATTCATTGGCTACCAAAAATTGCAGATTTCTTAAGACTAACACAAAAAGAGACAGGTCCTAAATTTGGACAATATACAGTAGCTACTACTAACTCCTTTAAAACCGCAATCCTGGGTGCAGTGGCTGGCATGCTATTCCAAGCACACAGTCACACACAACGCAGTGCCTTCAAGCAGCAGCAACAGGACCACACAAGCTCTGAGGCAGCCAACTACACTCATCAGGCCCACACACACACTGGCCTAATTTTCCACAATTTATAGATCTATGCATGCTTTATTAAAATCTTCTGAGGATATAACATTCTGTCCATTATGTACCTCTAATATCAACTTTGAATGCTACACTTGTTCGTTCTGATCTAAAAGTGAGACATACAGTGCATTCGGAAAGTATTCAGACCCCTTCCCTTTTTCTACATTTTGTTACGTTACATCCTTATTCTAAAATTGATTGAATTAAAAAACATTGTCATCAATCTATACACAATACCCCATAATGATAAAGCGAAAACAGGTTTTTAGAAATGTTTGCAAATGTATTACAAATAAAAACCAGAAACACCTTATTTACATAAGTATTCAGACCCTTTGCTATGAGACTCAAAATTGAGCTCAGGTGCATCCTGTTTCCATTGATCATCCTTGAGATGTTTCTACAACTTGATTGGAGTCCACCTGTGGTAAATTCAATTGATTGGACATGATTTGGAAAGGCACACACCTGTCTATATAAGGTCCTACAGTTGACAGTGCATGTCAGAGCAGAAACCAAGACATGAGATCGAAGGAATTGTCCGTAGAGCTCCGAAACAGGATTGTGTCGAGGCACAGATCTGGGGAAGGGTACCAAAAAATGTCTGCAGCATTGAAGGTCCCCAAGAACACAGTGGCCTCCATCATTCTTAAATGGAAGACGTTTGGAACCACCAAGACTCTTTCTAGAGCTGGCCGCCCGGCCAAACTGAGCAATCAGGGGAGAAGGACCTTGGTCAGGGAGTTGACCAAGAACCCAATGATCACTCTGACAGAGCTCCAGAGTTCCTCTGTGGAGATGGGAGAACCTTCCAGAAGGACAACCATCTCAGCAGCACTCCACCAATCAGGCCTTTATGGTAGAGTGGCCAGACGGAAGCCACTCCTCAGTAAAAGGCACATGACAGCCCGCTTGGAGTTTGCCAAAAGGCACCTAAAGGACTCTCAGACAAAGAGAAACAAGATTCTCTGCTCTGATGAAACCAAGATTGAACTCTTTGGCCTGAATGCCAAGCCTCATGTCTGGAGGAAACCTGGCACCATCCCTACAGTGAAGCATGGTGGTGGAAGCATCATGCTGTGGGGATGTTTTTCAGCGGCAGGGACTGGGAGACTAGTCAGGATCGAGGGAAAGATGAACAGAGCAAAGTACAGAGAGATCCTTGATGAAAACCTGCTCCAGAGCGCTCAGGACCTCAGACTGGGGCGAAGGTTCACCTTCAACAGGACAATGACCCTAAGCACACAGCCAAGACAATGTAGAGTGGCTTCAGGACAAGTCTCTGAATGTCCTTGAGTGGTCCAGCCAGAGCCCGGAATTGAACCCGATCTAACATCTCTGGAGAGACCTGAAAATAGCTGTGCAGCGATGCTCCCCATCCAACCTGACAGAGCTTGAGAGGATCTGCATAGAAGAATGGGAGAAACTCCCCAAATACAGGTGTGCCAAGCTTGTAGCGTCATACCCAAAGAAGACTCAAGGCTGTAATCTCTGCCAAAGATGCTTCAACAAAGTACTGAGTAAAGGGTCTGAATACTTATGTAAATGTTATATTTCCGTTTTTTATTTTCAATACATTTGCGAACATTTCTAAAAACCTGTTTTTGCTTTGTCATTATGAGGTATTGTGTGTAGAATGATGAAGAAAAAAAACAATTTAATCTACTTTAGAATAAGGCTGTAACCTAACAAAATGTGGAAAAAGTCAACGGGTCTGAATACTTTCTGAAGGCACTGTATTTGCTAGCACCTGACAGATGCAAAATGATATTTAGCATGAGCTGGGTGGGAATAACATCAAGAGACACCTTTACTTAATCAGTGTAGCAAACACATAAGGCATATCCTTATCATATGATATGGTTACTTGTAATATAGTCCAGCTGAGGGTTACATTTGAGGCAATATTGCATCATGACAGTTTGATAAATATCCGCTGCTCATATTCTCTCCAACGAGGTGACATCATCAAAAGCAAGCTTCAATACAATCCCTCCCCATGAGAAAAATAAATCCTAGATCTGAAATCCCTTCTTGGGAAGTTACTTTGGAATTGTATTGATATTATGAAACCTTTCGTTTTCACTAAATAATATTTGATGATGTGTGTCCAAACTACTTTCTTGAAGTAACCAGACACAAGATTGATAATGACATGTTTGCTTGTTCTTGTGAACATGTGCATCGTGTGCTCACTCGCAAACAAACAGAAACACACACAAACCCCAGCAGGATGACTGGAATTCCCTGAACAACACATGGGAGTGGCGGTGCACAGCACATTAGACAGGTTGAGGCATCTTTAATAGGCCAGGCCTAAAACACGCAGTGACACACTGATGCTGCTGTTCATTTCTCAATTTAGTCTTTATAAAAAGAAAATGCATTCAATCAAATTAAATAAACTCAGTTCAAGTTATTCAAATCTACAGTTCAAGTACAGCTGTCACCCCTGAACACGTATTACTGATCTATCTGCCTCTTTCTGTTGTTACGATGAAATTTAAAGCGTGCTCATTCAGCCATTTTTCTCAGGCATTTCTTAAAACTCACCAAATCCATTTCCTCTTCCTCTGACTGCTCTCAACAGAAGAGAAGAAGAGAGGCAGGGTTACAAGAGAAGGTCAGGATAGCTTCTACAGTCACCCTTTTGATGTTGAAAACCAAAGTCCTAATTGCCTGATTGTATTCCACGAGTAAAAGTCATCTAGACGTGCCATTAAAAATTCCCTCTGTCCTCTGCTATTCATGTTACCTTGCGAAACCCTCTTTGTCAAATGCAATGTCAATCAATTTCTTTGTGGACTCATGAACTTCCCTGAAATACTTGAATGCAATACTGTACAATGCTTTGGATAAAAGTGTCTGCTAAATGACCATGTTATAACACTTTAGCATTGTGTTTGTGACCATTTCAGAGTTTGACCTATCATTTTGGATCCATCACTATTCGCTACTCAAAAGGTTACTGATGTAAAACCGAAATGGGTAAACTCTAAGGTAAGGAGTTTAAGTCAGCAAACACACTTCATGACTTGGACTTAACCTCACATTGAATAAGTTCTTAACCTCTCATGCATCAATACATAACTCTGTCAATCTAATTACATCATCAATCCTGAGGGTATAACGTGACTCATTTGGAAGGCTCTCCACTTTCAAATAAACTGTGTTCAAGAAACTAAAACTGACTAGTTAGGTCAACTCAATGCAAACTGTAATGTAACAAAACCTTTGTAGCTCATGTAAAGTAGTCAACGAGGTAACAGTCAATGTAATATATTGATACAGTACTACTAAGCCTGCATATTACTAAGCCTGCATATTGTGCATTTTTGTTTCACCTAGTAGATTACAGGGGTCTCTCTGTATGTGAGGCCTACTGTTCCGCTAGACAAGAGGCTAACTGGAAGCCCTTCTTCCATCTTCCCTGTGCTGAGGGACAGACTGCCCTGGCCAGGACTGTCTTAATACCCACACTCAATCAATATCGTCAGGAAGACACGACAAGGGCGACAAGATATTATCTGGCTCACACTGGGCCCCTGATTAAGCCTTCATCCTCACTCTGTCACACTGAGATGTGATTAATTTAATACCATTATGGCCTAATGACAGGCTGTCTGCAGACCTGCCAGCCCCCACAGCCTTAACCTATCTGGAACGTTGCGTTTACACTGACAGAGCAGAGCAGGCCCTCCCTTTCATCTCAATACTACTGACACATTCAGGACTTCTAAATTCTCTCTGTCTGAACCATTCTACCAGTTAGATCTAAAATAATGCTTTGTCTTTGTGAGGTGTGGAGCTCTACCACTTCCAGATGCTGGCATGGTAACAGTACCATACACGTGTTGATCCCCTGCTCCAGGCTGGTGGATGGATCAGGGGTGCCCACGCCACGGTAACCACAGGTATATTTACCAAACAACGCCTCCGTGTCTTGGAGGAACTCCCGTTGCTGAGAGCTCCAGCAACATGCAGGTTGGAAAGAGTCAATTACTGGCCAATTTCTGAATACTTTTTTCCCCTTTCTCTTTCTTCCCATTTTGATTTATGGCCATGGCAGTCTAGTGTAGCCTCAGGTGCTCAATGTGGTCAGAGCTCTCTGCACCTTAATTATAATAATTAGAGAGGGCCTATAATTTCAATATGAATAATTGAGTGACTGGGCCTCAGAAATATAGCCCAAGTAGCTATAGTGCTGTTTGTGTTCTTGGCACTGTCCAGAGTCTAGCTCCTGTAGGTGATCAAATAAGAACGAATGCCACTCGCTGATTTGTTGATGGAAGTGAATCTAAGCTGCACGTAAACCAGACCTACCAAGAAGAAAGAGGTCCTCAGACAGCACTGATATCCTCAGGCAGAGAGGACCTTGTCTCCTGCTCCAAAACATTTCCAACATTTCACGCTATACCACAATGATACCATCACGATCCTGTGAAGGGAAAATAAAACTCCCTCTGTTGCACACGTGAGGGGAAAGGAGAATGCTTCTGAGGCAGAATCTGAGCCGGCCCTGGGACTGAGAGAGATACAGAGTGTTCCTACAGTCTGCTCATGTGCAGTGAGGAGTGGGGACTGTAGGCTACTCACCAGTGGGGGCATCATGCCTTTGCTGGATGGGGGGATCACCACTCTCAGGTCTGGCTTGCGGTTTCCCATCCCCATGTTCACTCCAGGGGGCGGTGGAGACTTGGTGGGCATGACTTTCCCCAGGCCGTTCCCGCTGGGTGTGCCCAGGAGTCCCGGAGAGCCCCTGGAGTTGACAAAGCTGCTCCCTGGAGAGACACAGAGACAGAAGCCATCACGGGACTGTGAGCCACTACAACAACAGGCATCTGCCAAATCTCCAACCATTTAAAGCTGCATAGCTTGCTATAGCACGCAACGTTAAGTGTTCCCAACCCTCTGGGAAGTTTTAATAGACTCTGATAAGTTTCCTGCACATTTACCAAAATAAGACGTCCATTTCAGAATTGATGAGCCTTTCATTCTTGCTGTGAGTGACGATATCAAAGTCAACTCCTTATATCCTGGGATGAGGAGTAATTCACTTAACAAATGTACTGTGACTGCTGTTTAAGGTGGGAATAGCATGCCATTACAGTTGGGTAAAACACTTTGCTAAAAGATTATGGTATTTTATTTTAAGTGACAATATGGGAATACTATGTCTGTTTACGCAAGACTATCTATGTACTCATAGTACTGTATTCATAGTACTATATACATTTGTGTGAACTGTAATTTCATTTTTTACTCTAATGGTAGATTTACAGAAGAATGAGTCATAAGGCTGGTTTACCCCCCACCCAGAGTAATTTCCTGTGGCAGCAGCTCTAAAACAAAGTAAAAGAAAGCACAGGGTCAATGACACCATCTCAGAGCTGATCAGGAGAAGGACCAGTACAGTGCATGTCACACCATGCCTATATGGAATGGGACTGATGTGAGGTATATATCCAATGAAATCAATGAAATGCTATGCTATGGTATCAACGTGGGAGTATTAGCAAATTCAACAGCACTTTATAACTCGTTTTGATCCATTATTCATCTTGTTTGTATTTTTATTACAGATAGTAAAAAAATAACGAGAAACAGAGGGATGAAAGAATCTATGCTATCTATTATTTCATCAACAGATCAGTGACACACTTCAACAAGTAACTGAGTACTCCATTGTGTTGTATAGAGCCCAGTGAAACACAAGCCAGCTGCAGAATAAGCAGGACCTCGCTCTGTGAAATAATGGAACAATCACCTCTCTAGCTACAGATAAGAACCCCCACAATACACGGCCAAATAAACAGTTATGGGACATACAATGGTATCTCACAGCTGAATCAACAGCATACGCAACGCAAGCTACTATCGCTCCCAGCACTCGCTTTCATCTTATACTGGAAGTGACTGCTGCAAAATCCAAGGTGCACGCATATAATTAGCAATGTAAATGCTCAAACCCTAAAAATAGCAGAACCTGCATTTGCTTATGGCAAAACATCCAATTCGTTAACATAAGCGTAGGTTCATTGGAGGACGAGTACAATCTGATTCAACAATAGTTGCAAAGAAAGTATCTTCACTATCGAAAATGTGATAAGTCAGTGTAAATCAGAATTCTTTATTTCTGAGAAAGATACATTATTTTCTGAAAGGCAAACTCTGGTTGTGGATTTCCACACAGAGGTTTCTTCTCTTCTTGGCTCTACTCAGAAACCATTGTGGGAGTGGGCGGGCAAATCAAGTGAGGCAATATCTGGGCTGGTGTTTGGGAGGGGGAGGGTCCTATCTTGCTTGATATGACTGTAAAAGGTGCAGCAACATAGCTCTCTGATAATGATCAGAGGCCAATGATATCATCGCAGGGAATCCGTCCAAAATGAAAATCTTTTGTAGCACAACCGTGGATGTGTAGGCAGTAACTAGGGCCTAACGGAGGAGAAACATGCTCCTTGAAGCTAATTTGACATGGCCTACAGCCAGTTGTGCACAAAAGCAACATGCAGAATAACTGTAGTGTACATTTGTACAGACGACCATGCCTAAAAATTGCTGTTGAAGAAAATACTTAAATGTAATTAGTGCCAGCATCCTTTTTAGACCTTTAAATGGTTTCTAAATGGGGCACTTTTACAAGACAGAAACAACTATTTTTACCTCACAGAAAATTATCACAAGTGCAGAGCCAAGCCTTTTGGCAGAAACATCTTTGTGGATTTGTTTTCTGTGTGTTACCTGAACCAGAATGGTTCTTCTGCCATCAAATCCTCAGTGAATGACCCCAGGACATGTACAATATATTTTTTAAAGTCATTAACACTGCCCACTGTGGGAGCAAGGTTACATAAGAGGTTGTCTGTCTGTACCACTCAAACATTTAGTTTTTATCTGAACATAAGACAAAATAAACTGTGTTGACTAAATTGTGCTTTCACTAGAATGAACCGTAGAGCAAGTGAGGCAGATCTGATCAGACCTGACTGTCATTAAGCAAACACCAGAGGAACTTGAGTCTCAGTGAGAGAAGAGAATACGCATTAATGAGAAAAGATTAATGGGTGTGAATCAAGCGCCTCTAATAGATTAAGTGGAAAGGAGAGCAAATTATAATTAATGAGCCTGGACAGAAACTGGGTGCTCTGGTATTGTTTTGGCTCAGGAAACAGAGCAGGGCCACAGTATGTGAGAGACTACAGTACAGTCACTCACTCGGTAGTTGTTCCAAGAACTCCAATCCATATTTCACTTGGAGGGCCCCTTAGTATAAAACAAATACAGTTTAGAATGCTTTTTAAAGGAAAAAAACACAAATTGGAAATGGTAATCCACTGGGAACACCAACGGCTTCCACGGTTCTCTAGAAATATAGAAATAATATGTTAAAATATACTTTTTGACACACAAACATCCCTTGTAATTGCTCTTCAAGAGACTGTAACTCTCCAGCATTAATGAAAGAATCTACACAACCTACAGGCATATTGCATAACAGAGAGAAGAGTGACATCCCTCACATACTGACAAGCTCTCATTCTTTATGGTCAACAGAGTGGGAATAGAGAGAGCGTGGAAAGAGTGGAACCGTGTGCAAAGCAGCCCTAATGCATTGAGCAGTATGACTTTATCACACAAACAGTTCCACATTGGATTGCTAATTAGGTGTGCAAATACGTATATATCACAGTTACTTTAATTACATCCATATCATTTATTTTTTACAAAGCATCCAAAGTTCACAGTCTTCTTGTGAGCCAAGGTCTACGTATTTGAATGAGAGCCAAAACTGATGGCTCATTCCAGACAGAACAATTTAAAATGAATTGCTATAAAAAACCTCTCTCTGAATATATATAATTAATATATAATTAAAATATAGCTACAACAATTTGCCTGCAAAACCAGAACACTGTACTTTGTGAGTGAATATTCAGACACTCACTAGCCTTATGTCATGGTCACCAAGACTCAGACTACTTTATGGAGCCCAGTGCTCTTCAAACATTATCTCAGTCCACTCTCCTTATCTATCATGATTCATGTCTGCAGAGCACTGGGACTGAGCCACTGCGAGACCTCTCCAGGAGGAATAGTGGAGCCCTTAATTCCCCCTTATTTAAGCACTGGCTTTTGTGCTCCTCATGTGCTAGATGAACCTCTCTGCCAAGCCTCATTTATCAGAGTTGAACACTGTGTACATTTAGCACTGCCTGTAATGTTCTAGGGGTGAAATTAATGTATGAAAATAGAAAATCCCATTTCGGCTTAACGTAAGATGTGGTGCATTAACAGAAACACACTTTCATGTTTTTGTTTTAATATTATTATGTTTTCGGATTGAAACCAGGCTCATGTTCATTCTGAATCAATACATACTCAATTCCAATCACATGGCAAAGACCTCTAATGTATTTCCTTCACACTGCTGCAGAAAGGAAACTATGACAACAGCTCCAAAAAGCTACAGCTTTCCAGCTGCAGTACTTACAGTGAGGGGAAATAGTATTTGATCCCCTGCTGATTTTGTACGTTTGCCCACTGACAAAGAAATTATCTGTCTAAATTTTAATGGTAGGATTATTTGAACAGTGAGAGACAGATTAACAACAACAAAATCCAGAAAAACGCATATCAAAAATTTTATCAATTGATTTGCATTTTAATGAGCGAAATAAGTATTTCACCCCCTCTCAATCAGAAAGATTTCTGGCTCCCAGGTGTCTTTTATACAGGTAACGAGCTGAGATTAGGAGCACACTCTTAAAGGGAGTGCTCCTAATCTCAGCTTGTTACCTGTATAAAAGACACCTGTCCACAGAAGCAATCAATCAATCAGATTCCAAACTCTCCACCATGGCCAAGACCAAAGAGCTCTCCAAGGATGTCAGGGACAAGATTGTAGACCTACACAAGGCTGGAATGGGCTACAAGACCATCGCCAAGCAGCTTGGTGAGAAGTTGACAACAGTTGGTGCGATTATTCGCAAATGGAATAAACACAAAATAACTGTCAATCTCCCTCGGCCTGGGGCTCCATGCAAGATCTCACCTCGTGGAGTTGCAATGATCATGAGAACGGTGAGGAATAAGCCCAGAACTACACGGGAGGATCTTGTCAACGATCTCAAGGCAGCTGGGACCATAGTCACCAACAAAACAATTGGTAACACACTACGCCGTGAAGGACTGGAATCCTGCAGCGCCCGCAAGGTCCCCCTGCTCAAGAAAGCACATATACAGTGGGGGAAAAAAGTATTTAGTCAGCCACCAATTGTGCAAGTTCTCCCACTTAAAGATGAGAGAGGCCTGTAATTTTCATCATAGGTACATGTCAACTATGACAGACAAATTGAGGCATTTTTTTCCAGAAAATCACATTGTAGGATTTTTTATGAATTTATTTGCAAATTATGGTGGAAAATAAGTATTTGGTCACCTACAAACAAGCAAGATTTCTGGCTCTCACAGACCTGTAACTTCTTCTTTAAGAGGCTCCTCTGTCCTCCACTCGTTACCCGTATTAATGGCACCTGTTTGAACTTATCAGTATAAAAGACACCTGTCCACAACCTCAAACAGTCACACTCCAAACTCCACTATGGCCAAGACCAAAGAGCTGTCAAAGGACTCCAGAAACAAAATTGTAGACCTGCACCAGGCTGGGAAGACTGAATCTGCAATAGGTAAGCAGCTTGGTTTGAAGAAATCAACTGTGGGAGCAATTATTAGGAAATGGAAGACATACAAGACCACTGATAATCTCCCTCGATCTGGGGCTCCATGCAAGATCTCACCCCGTGGGGTCAAAATGATCACAAGAACGGTGAGCAAAAATCCCAGAACCACACGGGGGGACCTAGTGAATGACCTGCAGAGAGCTGGGACCAAAGTAACAAAGCCTACCATCAGTAACACACTACGCCGCCAGGGACTCAAATCCTGCAGTGCCAGACGTGTCCCCCTGCTTAAGCCAGTACATGTCCAGGCCC